TACCAAAAAAAATTACGTTAAACGAAAGTTTAACTTCAAGTCACCTAAAGCTAACCTGCCTAACCCTAATCTCTGAAGCCAACTCGCCTAATTCTCAAAACTAACCCACCTAACCCTATACACTAAAGCTAACCTGCCTAATCCAAACTTTTAAGACCAACTATTCTAACCCGAACTTCAAGGATGGTTAATTTCAATAAAATTCTCAGTTGTATGTAAGACAAAAATTAAAAATAGAATAGTCTCTACAGTTATAGGGCCTCGAGACTTTTTGATCAAACATTGATTATTTGTTGGGCCATATTCTTGAATAGGTGCTCTACTCATAAATTTTGTTGCATAAAAATATACAACAACTTACTATAATTTTCGTTCAAAGTTGAGTTTTTATATTGAATATAATATTATATTCAAATTGTTTAAATATCGATTTCTGAATTTGGAAAATCCTATATGTGTTAAAAAACTTACTCCTGAAGCCCCAAGAGACCAATCAGCTTATAAATCTTCTAAATTATTTTGTCATAAGTTTGAATGATAAATATCTAATCCAAATATACTAATTTTCAATATCTAATCGCTTGTAAACTGTGCATAAACAACAAACTAAACAGATTTTTAACAATATAAAGCATGTAATGCCTGTTAAATTGCTCATAATGCATACGTATAAAAAAAAGGAAAATACAAGTTTTGCACAAGTCATGTTCCAAATAAAGAAAAATCCCTATAGCTAATAAACAAATAAGCATGATCGAAATTAATAAACAAATAAGCATGATCGAAATTAATAAACAAATAAGCTTGACCGAAATTGTATAGTATAATTCTATTAACCCTGCGATACTACATTTGATCAAATATGCTGAAGAATGATTTAATTAATCATGTCTCCTTCACTGATATTAATACTTGCTTTACAAGTTGCGTAATTATGACCCTTGTGCCCACAATTCCTACATGTTTTCCTGTTGTCTTTAATTATGCTCGCTTCTAAGACATTCTTATTAACATTAAGGTTAATATCTGAATGTAATACACCAATTCGCTTTAATTTTTTGTCTTGAATTTCTGTAGAGCTTTTAATCCACCCTGCTGGCCTGCCTTTTCTCGGCATAATCACTGGATTTTGTACCTTTAGATTAGAACTATCTCGTTTTTCAGATTATTTTCATTTAATATTTGCTGTTTATTAAGTATGAATTCTTGACAAATTCTGATCATCTCTTCATAAGAATTGGTATCCAATGCCAAATTAATCATC